GGACTTTTTTCAATATCAGGTCAAGCAACAAAAGGTACAGATGTAATTTAGACAAGAAGAAGGGTGAGTGGTTTCCATTTAGAGTCACTAATGAAGTAGTTCTTCTTATTCACTTATCTTCACACTTGTGGTTTGGGCCAGAGTGGCCACTGAAGCTCTCATTGAGTATTTTAGGGAAAATGTTGAAAAAATGAGAGACGTTTTTGTGAGAGACTCCTAAAGCTTAAATGAATAAATAAATAAATCAGTCTGTATGTGGTGTTTGTGCAGTTCCTATATTGCTTTCAAAGAGCTTCAGCTTTCACAATTCAGACGCTGTGAATCTGCAGAAACACCACACCCAGGGGACACAATTTTCTTTCTTTTTTAAATGTTTTACATTCTTGTAGATAAAGACTACACATTATACTACATTTCAGTTGTATAAAAAACGCTTTTTTCTGTTTGCTTGAAAAGCTGTTATAAATTCAAACATATGCTTTTCTTAATGTAAAATGAATAGCTGTTAACTAGCTTTTGGTAAGTATTTATTTTTTTTGTCCTTCCTGTTCTTCATAAAAGAATGCAAAGTCATATCTTGGGAAGGTAATTGCAATTTTTGTTTTTGATCTACTGTATGCATTAATCCAACTGGAAAAAAAATCAAAAGCAGTCATTTCCTTTAAAAAAAATATATATATATACTTAAAAAATTAAAAGAGAAACCAGAAGAAGATATTCTGACCTTTATACTACAGATATCAGGGGGAGCAGGGTGTTCCTTTCTATCTGGCTTGTGGATAAAAAAGTACATTACAGTTTCAGTGCTAGCTGTCCTTCAAACTGCATAAATTCTGTCCTTGTCTCGCAGCAATGAAAGAAATCTTGGCAAATTCACACAGTCATTCATAGCTTTCATCTCCTTGTCCTTTCTCAAATCACTGCTAAAACGCCCTCAGTCGACTTCGGGTTCTTGCTTAATTTGGTTAATTAGGGAACAGAAAAACTAGAGAACTGGCAACTTCAGGCATATCCAGTAATTTATAGGCATGCCTAATAACTTGCTCCCATAATTTTGATGGGAATTTTTTAATATATTGACCTATTTTATATACAGTTGCAGTCCAATGATAATAAAGGGCTCACCCTTTTGTCACAAAGTTATGAAAGCAGACATTGAATTCATTTAGTTGTCAATGAAATTTTTGATGGGCAAATCTATAGCAAACAGGGTCCTTAAATGATTTAAAAGATTTTGAGCATTAGTATGTGACAGATGTACAAAAACATCAACAGTTATTAACATAAAATAATGAATTACTGAGCTTTTTGCTTGCAAAGAGAAAACTAAGGCTTTCCCTCAAAAGCATTCTTGTTCCATAAATAAAAATCTTCCTTGGGGGGAAGGAGGATGGACTGTCAAGCATCTTGAGTTTAAGTATGGATGAACTCAATGTTAAAAATTGGCTGTTGCAGAATTACGTTTCATACTGAAATCAGTGATCTTTAAAGTATTTTTGGACTTTCAGCTTTGTCACTTTCAATTACTTTAAAAAATAAATTATGTTTATGCCACATACACAAAATATTGTTTTTCCATGGTTTTAATTCCTTTTGCATTAATTGTGCTATATTTGGATGAGAAATTAGTGTGACAAGCAATATTTCATGTCAGTCCAGCAAAGCTATGCAAATTTTGTACATACAAACATGATTTTCCAGCTAAAAAACAGTATTTACTTTGTATTAACTTATATACATCCAAAACAATTGGAAGAACATCAGATTCACGTAAGTGGTGCAACTCTTGTTGCACTTTAAGCACAATTTGTGACCTAATGTATTATTTTGCAACAGTAAACAGTGTACCAAGGCCACAGAGATCTCAGACTCTGGTTTCTGTTCCCCTGGTGAGCATGCTGTTTATCTATGATTATTTAATACTACTTTGTTTGATATTGATCAGTAGCACAAACATAGGCGAACTTCAAAGTCTAAATTCATTGGAGAAGTTTAAATACTCATAGAGGGAAAAAAAAAGACAATAATATTCTCTTATTTTTTAGCTCATTGGTCAAATATGTTTGCTAATGTAATTTGTTACAAAATCTGTGATTTCTTTTTAAATTTTTTACTTCTATTTAAAAAAAAAAACACAACCTGGGCTTAGAATGGATTACATCTAATGTTGCTAACATTTCCTGGAAATGGAAAACTGTGATAACAGCTGCTGTCTTGGCTCATTTTCAGTTGGGTTTTTTGGTTTGTTGGTTTGGGGGTTTTTTTTATGCTGCAGCAATTTACAAGTGGTTACAGCTATCTCTAGTAGTCTTACATCATTAGGAAAACATCATAAGTCAGTCAAATGTTTCCTTTCCAATCAGAGAACTTCCTCGACTTATTGAATTGTTGACTTTCTGAATAGTATTTATAGTAACAGCACTTACTTTTTAAAATAAATGCTAATTTATGAAATAAAGCTAGCTGCATATGGAAGATAACTATAGCAAGAATCTAAATTTTATGCTAAAGCAAAATGCCTCCAATGAAAATTAAGAAAATCTTGAAAGCATCTTATTTAGATAGATAATGCCTAACTGATTTATATCAAAAGTATAAAATTGTTTTTCCTAGGACCTACGATGAGCAGAAATGTCTCTATGTTACTACTCTTCATAAATTCCAAACATTTAGATTGAAACATTTGCGATTTTTGCAGTACTGTAGCATTGTGAAGTGATAAACACTCCTCAGTAGTGATGAAAAATAGAAGGAAGAGCCAAGTAAAGCAAGAGACAACGAGCTCTATGTGTTGATGGTGTCAAAAAACAGGTCTGTGCATATTCAAAGATTTAGCCTCCTTAAAGTAAATTAGTACTTTCCGCTTTAATGTTTTCAAGTGCTTTGAGAAATACATGTTAAATTGTTTTAAATTATGTTTTCATATTTTCAAGTCAGGATATTAATGAAATTTTACTAATTTTTCAGCCAAATCTATGCCTCTTTATTTAGTATATGATTATGCTTCAATAAGCAATGTTATATATGCAAGTTAGAATCTGTTACTATGCCAAAAGTTTAGGTTTGTTTTATATCAAAACATATAATAATTTCCCCTATGAAGTTTGTAACTTCAGCAAATCCTCTTTCACCAAATACATTTTAACACTTAAGGAGCAGAACCTCCCTTCATTGCATTTGAAATGGCTGGTGAAGAGCTCTGCAGCTCAAGGGGATCTCTGCACTATTTCTCATTCTGGGACTACTCTGCGCTGATCAACTTCAAGTATTTCACCTTGAGCAACCTGACCTAACTTTGAATATGGAGCTGGCTTTGAGCAGGACATTTGGACCAGATGGCTCCAGAGGTTCCTTCAAACATAAATCACCCTATAAGGTCCTCTTTCCAATACTCTTGCTTTGGGACCAGTCTGCGTGAGGCCAGTTTGCACTTCTATGGGCACGTAATCTAGACGTGTCCTAAGAAACATTTAAAACTGATGTTCACGTTGTTTCTGAACCTTCAGGAATGGAACACAGGGGTTTCTGTTTGGGTAGTAACAACCAGAAGTCATAACCTCCTGGTGGCTCTTCCTTCACCTGAGTCAAATGAATCAGCAATATCCCTCCGTCTCTTAGCAGACAGGAGGGGTTTCGAGTCTTAGCCTGTGACTTTTCACAGACTTTCAATTAAATAAACGGGGAGACTGAACTACCTCATTCTTCCTGGGGCTGACAATTTCAAAGCACAGTTCTGAGTCACAGTGAGAGGAGCGGTGCAGAGCAGCCTTCCTCCCTCCCGCCGCACTGACTCATCAGAGGCTTTCATTTTCCACTCCGGTCAGGGAGCCAACATCTTTTATGACAATTAAGCTAATCTTAACAAGAGGACTTTGAAAAACTGATTAAGCTCTGAACTGTACCTGAACAGTGAACTCGAGCAATGTAAACCCTGACACACATGCATGTCAATCTACAGGTGAAATCGGCTTCCACTTATTTCTTGGTACTGACTCTGACTCCTAGAAGAGATGAAGTCCTGAAAATTTCCACAAAATATTTTAATGCTAGTTTGTACTGCTTAACTGCATATTGTTGTGATAGGCTTTTCTGTAGAAATACAATTCTGTACTGAGAAATATAATTGTACTTTACAACCCCATCACTATTGGTTTTTTGAAGTAAAAAACCTTACTCAGTTAAGTGGTCGGTGTGTTGGATTACTGTAATCATTTAAATTGCTGAAAATACCTGTTAGTTTGACTAGGATGAGCTGAGCAGCTTAAAAATTATTTTTACCATAGTTATATTTTACCATAAATAGCACTTTCATCATCTACAATATAAAGTCAAAAAGCATGACTTGTGACTGATCTCTTCCATGACTTGGAGCAAGGCACTTTACTGTTCAGTATCCTGTTTCCTAAGATTCAAAAAGAGAGGCATGGTGTCTATCTGTCCAAGTAGCTTCCAAGTAACAAAAAAATCCCATTATACAAGAGCACTCTGTTGTTAACTTGTAGTAGTTAAAAAATTGCTGCTAGGATCCACTTGTTCCAAAACAACAAGTTGAAATATGTGTGTGTGTGTATATGCTGTCAAAAGTTCATCCATAAAAAATAAAGTTTTACAATTTGATCAAAAACATTGCTTAAGCTGGGAACATGAGGCTTCCTTCACAGTCTCTTCAGAAATCTCTTTTAAGTATTATTCTGTCCTCCAATACTAAGCATTCCTCAGACATTTAACATTTGGGGAAATTGAAATATGTTGACCTCTATGGCATCCCTACAACAGCAGATGTGTGAAGACTCTGATTTTAATTTGTGCTTTCCATGAAGCCACCACCATGGACCAGCCACCACCAGGAGCAAGCTCTGGTATCTATGAGATACTTAGAGAGGTACTTTGACATATTTGAGCAATTAAAAAGCCCTCTATTTGAGACCTGGCCTGCCTTGAAGTGAAATTTTATAAACTGAATGTTTCAGACATTTTCAGATGCTAACTAATGTCCAGAGATGAGAATAGATCTGACTGAGCTTTAAAGGTTGGTTTACCTTTCTCGTCCACTCTAGGACTTCAAAACTGTCCTCTCAAAGCTCTTGATGCATTGGGAGAAACTTGCTTGTCGTTCTTTAATGCAAAACAATTTTATATTTGCAGCTTTACCCTAGTGAAATTGTAAAGTGAAATGAGATGGAATACAAATAATACTAGAATTTCTTTACTATCCTGAGTCATGAATAGAAGCATGCCTGGACTCAAATCCAAGCTGTGTTTTAAAGCAGAATTCAAATCCTCCGATGTTTGCTGCCAAACACTGAGTTTGGTTCCTGAGGGCTTGAGCGGGGTTTCCTCGGCTACGGCATCTGGCATCGGCAGCGCTGGCGGCAGGACAGGGAGTGCCTCTCCTGGGCTTGCTGTGCCAGGGGATTTCATCAGCTAACGCAGGTCTTGACAGGTGCAAAGCCTTTCACTTCACTTTTAAGGGCCATAAAACACTTGGTGTAAGATTTAGGAGACTGGGAACTAACTTTTTGATTCAGCAAGGGAAAATAAGATATTTTCCTGACTCTAATCCTGTAGATCTGCTAGGATTGCTTTGATGCATTTCTTCTAAACACAGAAATAACATTTACTCTGAAAAGGGTTCTTGAGGCACGCTGAATTTGCCAAACTTTTCACTTTGAGACAAAAACATGACAAATGTGCTTCCTGGCGTTTTCATGTTGATTTATTCTTCCTCACAAAGGAGAACTTCATAAAGAGCTTGAATGAGATCCACATTCACACTTTACACATGCAACATTTTTGTGTCTTACAAAGTTGGCTTATCATGCAAACTAACTTGGAAATAGAGACAAACCAGAGAAGGACATGCCAAGGCCGCTATACTTCAGTAGTTATTTTTTTCCAACTAATCATCATTATTATTATGACTAGATACTTACCCTTAGGTGCATTGGGCAGATCATTCTGACTCATCCGTTTAGTGGATGTTGTCCTGTTGGCTTAATGATTATCTTTTTGTCTGAAAGATTTGTTAATTCGTTTAACTGCATAGGATAGCTATTTAAGTACTTATCAGGTGACCTCAACACTGACATAACCTTTTTGGTATGGTTAGTTGTAGCTTGTGTCATGACATTGATATGAATTATGGCTGTCTTGAGGATACAAACCTTCATATAGCACAGATGGTCTATCCAGAAAAAAACCTGTAATGACAGTCTGCCCATCACACATTCAGCCTTCCCTTGCAGACTATTTCCTTTATCATTGCCTCGTTCTCTTAGGCACCTTTTAATCAAGCATCTAAGGCATCATTTATTGTACAGACTGTGCTCTATAATACAGACTGTAACATGAGATTCTGGAAAATACCTCTGCTACCAGCATGATGAGGGTGGTTTTTTGGCCTTCTCCAAACTTGTTTAGCAATGTATCACCATTACTTCCAGAGAGCTGATTTTTTTACTACTTCTTTAAAAGAACAATGAAAGCTGTGTAAGCTCATTACCAGAGCATGTGTGTAGGCTTAAAATTACAGATAATAGACAAATGGTTGGAAAGTCAGTAATTCCTTTACATATTTGCCAAGACTTAGGTCAAGGTTCAGGGTTTCCTTTGCTCAAACTGGTGTAATCAGAAATACCTCCAGGTGTTCTGGGGAGTGCTGGCAGTGCACATGCAACACAGGTGATGAGGCACAGTTGATCTTAGTTGTTTTCTGCAAGAGAGAACCACGTTTAGGTAAATTACAATCAGTTGTGATGTGCTTTTCTTTTCGCATCAGTATTTTGTTTAAACTAATCCTTTGATCTAATACCTCTTGGTGTTTTCTATGCACTCTCATAATGTGTTATTTCTAATATTACAGTAAATTCATCGTAGTAAATTTTGGTATCACAAGCCTGGCTTCTCATGTTAGTGAAATAGTTAATATATAGGAATATAATTGTGTGCTTAAGAGCAATCATCACTAAAAAATTACTGCCTTTCCACTCTGAAGCCCAGAACTTGTATGTCATGTCTGTAATTGTGTAAACATTTTACAAAAATCAAAGTGACACAAATGTGTGTAAGGATTTGGCAAAAATGATATACACATAGTTAACTTGGAATACAATCAGATATTTTACAGGAAAATTCAGCAAAAGCATGATTTTTACCCGTGTTTATCACCTCTTTCTTCATGAGCGTGGTTCTTTAGTTTTTAATGGTAACAAAGTCACAAAGTTTAAATCCAGATCCTTGGGCTGAGATCCAGGAAAGAATGTGAAGATTTTTGCCTGGGCCTGGGGATGTGGAGGCAGCAGTGGGAGCAAAATCTACCCTCACCTTTGTGTGCACTGTGTTTCTAACGTGAAAGGCAGGCACGACATGAGAAGTTGGTTGCGTTGTCTTGACAAATACGTCCTTTACTGGCCGGCTGAGAGTGTCAATAAGGAAGCAGCGTTATTTGAGGTGCTAAATGTGTGACATGGGCACATTGCCACCGCTGCCCGGAGTGAGACCACTGACTGATTGCATGTGAACTACCCTACAGCAGTGTGACAGACGCTCCACCTGGCCACTATGTGGCACCTGATTAGAGTACATTATGCTCCTACCATATTATCTTTGATATATGTCTTGGAATGTACCTGTATTAAGACGGTTTTCAGAATATTCTTTTTTTAAAATTAAATATATTTTCCTCCTTAAAGCTCTCAGCATCATTTCAGGTGAAGTTATTTCTCATTCTTGTGTTTTTTCTTGTCACAGTTGTTCACATAAATTTTTTTCAAGAATTATGCTGTGCATGTATGAATGTGTGTCACCCTCGCTATTCCACGTTACAGAAAGCAGCACTAAGTGTTACTGCATCTAGGGATTGCAATAATTTGTCCTTTTGACATTGACTTAATTTTACATATTTTTCAGGGAGCAGAAATTGAGTAAGTGCCATGTTATACTCCAAATATCTCTTAGGCCACATGATGTCCTCCCCTCCAGCATGTGAATATGGTGTCTAGCATGAAACAATCCCCAAACAATACCTGTTTAAGACTTCAAATCATAACAAGTTTAGCTTCAGTCACATTTTGTAGATAAGCATTTATGCATCTGGCAGTAGGATTTTGCTCGAAATAAACAATGTTAGAAATTGACAAGTAAAGGTCTTAAGAGATTAACTGTGAGTCCATCTTTATGTTGTAAAAGAATGTGTTTTCTTGATTCTTATTAGGATTTTTGCTTAGATCCTGAAGTAACAGTACATAAACATATTTTGAAGGCATATGAAGTCAGAGTCTGAGCAGAGCCTTAAAGAGATACCAAAACCATCCTGTTTTCAAATTCAGCTGTGTTTCTTGTCACAGAGCAAAGTTTCTAATAGAGGCACAGTGACTGACCAGCAATTGCAATTTCCTACGTCATTATTTCAAAGAGTAACAGTAAATTAACTATAATTCTTTGGTTTTTTTGTTTTATTAACCAGTTAATACAGGTGACGGGATAGACTACAGCCAGCAGAAGCGTGAAAATATTGGAGATCTGATTCAGGAGACACTGGAAATTTTCGAACGCTATGGTGGAGAAACTGCTTTGATAAACATTAAATACATGATCCCTACTTATGAGTCGTGCATGTTAAAATGAGCTGTATCAAATGGGATGATTCCATTTGTGTTCTAATAAAACTGTAGCTGACTCTGTGTGGCATCTTGTTAGTCATGCTTTTTTTATCTACAGCTGCTAAAATAGTGGCTTCTGGGGCATTAGAGTGTTAGCACTATTGTGAACAAGGCTTTCCAATACATAAATAGTGCCTGTTCCTTTGATTACAATGGTGTACTGTGCTTGTTTGTTCCCTGAAAGAATCGCTCCTTTATAACAGAGCTGACTCGAGCAGGAGTCGGAGTTAAACCTTCACTTGTATAGACAATAAAACTATAATTTTCATACGCAATTCAGCAATTGCTGTTCTGTGTCCGCTTGCCCCGAGGCTGATGTCAGAGGCTGTAACAAGAAGAGTTTATGCTGACTGCTTAATAGGTGTTTGTCATGGAAGAGAAACACCAGTTCAGCAATGCCTCTCGAGCAGCTGGGCCGAATAATGTGCACTGACATACAATAAAACTGTTGAATGTATATACCAATTACAGCAGGAAAATTTATATGGTCCACTATAAAGTACTGTCATTAAATTAATACATGTTTCTTGCACACTCCTGATCTCAGCTTCCAGGTGTTTACCTTTTCCTGGAACTCGGGTTCCTCTTGGCGAATATCGGGCACAGCCACAGTTTTGAAGAAAAGAAGCCCAGATAAAACTTCAATAAATGGGATGCAGTGTAAGGAATGCATCAGTCCCTAACAACACAGTTAATCTGGGTAGACACAGTATATACAAATATATTTTTAAAGGGCACTGGGTATTTTTGTAACTGCAAGGTTGCTATTGCTTTTCTGTTATTATTATTGTATATATGTGTACAAACAATGTAGCTATTGTTACAGGAATCCCTTACAATTTCCTACTCAGTTAGTTTCTCCCTGCATACCCACAACACGGAATTGATATAATCATGGATTTAAGCAAGGCTATTGAGATCCATTTTATTGCTTTTTAAGCATTTCTGTGGAATAAATCTATCAAAAATAAAACAAGTTTTTACAATTCTCAAGGACAACCATTTAAAAATATGAGGTCAGCTCAAAACAAATTAGGAGATATGAGCTGTGTCTAAAAAGCATGGTAGTTTTAAAAGTACAGACTTTGGGCTCATTTTGCTTTTATTCTGGTTTCTGGAAGCTCTTAAAATATATGCAAGTTGCACTTTCAAGTGTTTCTCTGTAACTGTTAGAGCTCAAAATGCACTCTTTAGCGTTAGACGCATGAAACCTTTTCCAAGTCCTTACCCGCATCCATATTCACACCCTGCAAGGCTCGTCTGTGTGAGAGACACAGCCCCTGCGCTGCCCTCTTCTCTTGGGTGGGCACTGGAAGTGTGGGGAGCACCTTCCCACCTGCTGAAACATTGAGCTGGATGCGTCAGTGTTAGACTGATGTTAGACTTGCCTTTTTCTGTTCTGTGGGATCTTCAGCTTGAGGATTTTTATTTGCTTTGACTTTCTTCTCTTTCCTGTAATTGAAAAAAAAAATGTTAAGAGGAAGACTTTTACTCTTCCTGCCTCTTTCAGGAACTGCAGCATCAAGTGATGCCACCGGCCATGAGCACCCACCAGTCCCTGGTTGAGGCATAGCTGCTGCAGGTGTGCCTTTTTCCCAAGCTCCATAGACCTTCTATTTGTGTTTTTATTCTTTTTGGATTTTTTTAATGCACTGCCAGGGCTTCCCTCAAGTCCCTGGAGTTTAGGCAGAGTCTGTCCTGTGACCAACACACACCTGGAACGGATGAGCACATCCAATACGCTGCCTCACATCTAGGGTATCTGTAAATCTTTCACCTCCCAGGCAGAAAGGCAGGTGAAGCCTGGCTGTAGGCCTGTGTCTTGAGAAACTGAAGAGCTTTGTCTTCAAACCTTGCAGCACAGAGTCTAGCAGGACACTGCAGGGGAGTTAAGGCCGTATGGCCTCTTCCAGAAACGCCTTTCTACACAGCCACCCTGGCACTGTCAGGACAGCCTTTGCCTACAGTTTGTCACTCTGTTTCCCCTCAGCAGACCCCTGTCCTGCGTTGTCCCTGGCACCGATGAGCCACACTTTTTCATTTACTGGCCCCGATGTGTTTGGTTACTGTGGCATCGCAGGTTTCCCGTGAGTACAAAGTGTGCTGGAGGGCTGCCCCTCGGAGTGAGCCGAGTCATTCAGCTCGGGAACAAACCGGCCCCTTCATAGAAGGAAAAATCCCAGGCCACCTTTCTCTCCTTCCCTATTTGTATTCTGTCCTTAAGAGAAAGCCAAGTACTGCTCTTTGCCGGAGATCAAAAAAACTCCTCAATAGCTGGCTTCAGCTCCCCGCCGCCGGGCTCCAGCCACGGAGCTGCTGGCAGAGGGGACAGTGCAGGAAAGGGCTCTCATCCCTGGGGTTTCCCCATCCCATCGCCCCTCTGCATCCTGCCAGCGCTGCCGAGGACAGCATGAAGTAGCAGGCTCCTCACCAGCTTTGTAACTCTGTTCCCTGACTCGCTCTTTTTTTGCATCCCCTCCCCTTCGGCTCAACTAGGACAAGGCTACTGACTGACACAGACACCCTGGAAAACGAGTACTTCGTGCAGCTGCAGACTTGCCCAGACCTGATCCCCTCAGCCTCATGCTTTTCTTGAAGATTTCTTTTACAAGACGTTGTTTCAACAAGGAGTGACCTCATCACAAAGCATAAGGGCAATAAAGGTCATGCCCGCTCACATCAGGAAAAATAGGTTTTACAGCAAAGTACTTTTACTTGCATGTTCGGGGTGGGGACATTATCCTCTATCAATACTATTTCTATGAGTGGGGCATTGCTTCAAAAGTGAACAATCTCCCATAACCTTATTAATCCTAGGCCCTGGGCTGATAAAAAGAAGCATGATGAAAACCACTGGTTGGTAATTTAGGAACATTGAGAGTAAAATTATTTTAAGATGTAATTTTACTAAGTCGAACTGTAGGCCTGCCAACCTTGACAGTGTCCCTTTAAGCATGAGCAGCAGCATATTTATAGGCAATTACAGCACTGCTCAGAGCACTTTATAAAGCACAAGATCAAGGACCCAGGTGCTTAAGCATGTGAGTAATACTGTGTCATTCAATACTCTGCTTAGCTATTTTACTATGCTCAAAAAATGGAATTGTGGTTAAAGAATAGTAACTGCCTGTCTTTTCACCAGATCATACAATTGTGGTCACTGACACTAGGGGCGAGGCAACCAGCAGTTTCTAATTGTAATCAATTAAAAGGCACTCTGGGCCAGGTGTTGTAAGGGGTATAAATAAGCGTAGCACCATTAAAGGTGTCTTGGCTCTACAGAGTTGATGTGGTTTGTTCCTTGCTCTGAGGTCTGTGGCTCCTTTCTGGCTTTCCAGTGACTGTAAGGTTAGTAGCATCAGTACAGGACCCTGTGGATGGTTAAATAAGTCATAAGTGTCAGTTTTTTGAGACTAAATGGTTCAGGTGTTTTCAGTTTATCTTGATAAATGTGTTAGGTTGGCTGGTGGTTGTTCAGCTTGAAGAATAAAAAGTGTATGTTAACATCAGGGGAAAAAAAACCACCTGTGGCCACCTTGGTCTTGCAGGATCCTTGAAGAGTTCTTTATGATGACTCTTCCCCAAAGTTCTGCAAGAAAACTCTATAACAGGTGTCAGAGTTTTGGGGCATCTGGTGTTTTGTGAGTGCTGGTGGGTGCTATAAAGCAGTCACTGTGCAAGCTGTAGAGCTGTTGAATGGTACAACTGTGCTGAGCTTTGTGAAGCTGATCAGGGGCAGAGGTGGCTTGGGCTGGGGCTGCCCGTGGGCTCCTTGGGGGGGGACAGAGCCTGGCAGAGGACTGGGCAAGCCCCTGCCAGCACTGGCGGCGGGGAGCCGGAGCCAGGCTTCTCGCTGGTTGCTTTCCAGTGTTTCAAAGAGATGGAGCTGACAAAAGCAGTTTGAAAAGCGCCTCCCAGGAGTCAAGTACAAAAGGGCTATGGGAAGCTGTGAGTGGGAGGGAAGGTAGGGGACCCTGGCTGGAGGGGGGTGTTTGTGTGGGGGGTGCGGGGAGGTGGAGCTGCAGCCAACCAGGGCGAAAATAAAAAGCTAAAGCAGACACTATGTGCTTTCCTAATCCTGTCTGGAGACCCTCCGACTTCCAGAAAAGCATTCTCCCGTCTGAGGGGCTCTGCAGGCAGTGGGGCAGTTCACATTTTTCCGCTCATCTGTAACATCCTGTGTTTTCTGCTTTAAATAAAAGCGGTGATGTTTGTGGGAACTCTGTACAAAGCCTGTCTGCTGGTAACTGCTCGGAGCTGCTTTGTGCCTCTTGGAAACCAGGAGAGGAAGGTTCATGCTCTGGCAGGACAAGAAGTTCCCTGTGCTGGCCCCATAATCCTTCCGGCGTGTCAGTGGAGGGAAGGGGGGTGTGTGTGGTGGGGCATATCTTAGCTCTCCCTTTCCTTGCCTAGCAAATACAGCCTGGGCGTATCTGTGGGGCTTCTTGCTGAGAGCTTTCCCCTCCTTAGGGCAGCATGTCCAGAGGGAGGAATGGGTCTTCCTGCACTTCTGGGGTGGTGGATGTCTTTCAGCATGGCTTCTGGTGAGGTGGGTGGGAGTCCGCTTGAGCTGAGGGAAACGATCTGCAGCCTCAGGGAGGAAAGTGTATGTGTCTTGTGAAGCTGGGAGTCATCTGTGTGCTTAGTGTCCCTTTTGTGATGACAGCTTGAGAGTTTATTCCACAAACTAACTAATACTTAATTTTTTACCCTCACTGGGGGGCGAGTTGGGCAGCTAACAAGCTGTGCAGCCCTCACAACTGCTGTTTTGTAAGCCCCTGTGCTCCCTGTACACTGGGGGCCCAGGGTGCAGGGTCACTTGGGGTCAGCACACCCCGTGTGGGCAATCACCCAGCTCCTCTCTCTGCACTTCCCGGCTGGGCTACTGGCTGGCCACGAGTCCCCTTCCTCCAGCAGAAGAGGAAGAGGGGGGAGCTGCTCAAACTTCTCGCCAACAGAGTCCCTCACAAAGAGCAAAAGCCTCAGGCTATGGGAGAACGGGCACCCTCACGGGGAGGATGCGCAGGGCACAGCAGTGCTGGTGTGGCCAGGGCCATTTTGAGGACTGCACTCTCTCTGCTGCTGGCCCTGTGGGCACCCATGCGTGCAGGAACCCTCTGCGTCTGCTGTGGTCTGCTGACCCCGGCTGCTGAGGGCATGGGGTTAGAGGGGATAAAAGGGAAGATAATCCTGGTGCTTTACAAATGCTGAAAGAAAAGTTAAATCCCAACCTTGCTCTGCTTTGTGGTGAGGGCAAGTTAAATGTGTTGAGGTAACAGGAAGAAAAGGGACATCTAAATAGAGTGTCATAGCATTGGGTCTTGTATTCCCATCTCAAGAAATGAATATGATGCACCCTTAGTTTATTAAATGATCTAGGCAATCCAAATTTCCTCTGTTCATCTGCATCACCATAATAACATTCAAAAAAAATAAAAATTAGAGGTTAAGGTTGCTGGAGGGTGGAAGGGGAGCAGCTGCACACCAACCTGCTGCCTCAGCCAGCTCCGCTCTGGTACAGTGAGAACACATTGGTCTTAGGTCTCATCTCTGCACCTCTTCCACCTCTGTGGCCAAATGCCACACAGCTTGGTAGAGATGATTTGACACCACTGTACTAATGTGATTGCAGATAAAAGCAGAGTCCTTCTGGTAGGATATATGCAGATGTAAGTGTTGTAGCTGCTAGCATCTGTAACCACTGTAGCTCTGTGCCTTCCACAGAGTCATGCGGACTTTGCATTGAATCACATTGCTCTTCAATACAGGTAAAGTGATCAAAGAAAACTCTCAGACAAACTCCTCAAAAAGCATTGGGAAGCTTGAGGAGGCCTCCACATCACAAGCACAGCCTGTCTACACAGTGTTGGATGCTGCAGGCCACTGGGTACAGGCCAGACAAAATTCATGTCTGACATAAAGCAGCTACCTCATGTTGCGTGCTATTGCATTAATCAGGAATGGCCTAGCCTTAAATGTGTGGTCCATCCAACTCTGTATCAGATTTCAATTTCTGTTTTCTGGGTGTAATTCCTAAGTCCTTCCCTAAGGAGCAATTACTGAAAAGCAGCTCGGCTTACCTAACTCCAGCCCTAGGAGCAGGGAATGATATCCCCACATCTCGCCATCTCAATCTCATGCATTAGTTCTATTACTTCATGTTCACGTGTTCTTGTTTCCTGCTTCTCCTGGGTCCCTGTGGTGCTGAGCTGGAAGAGATGCTGCGAGAGCCGGGCAGGTAGAGGGGCAGCTGATGAGAAGAGACCAGGAGGGACCAGCTATTCCGGCAAAGGCTTTTCCTTCACAGCTAATGTTTCAGAAAATGTGAATTTTGGGGAACTTGCGTCTCTTTCATCCCAGAGCTGCTCCCTGGGCAGTAGCTGAGGCAAAACACTTCTGGAATAGATCCTCCTCCCTTCTCCTGCATAATGCTGTTGTGTTTTGGGAGAAAAATACCAGCTCTGCTGTGGGTGGGGGACAGGAATGAGAGTAAATGACGGGAAGCTTTTGACTTGAGAGCTCGGAAAGACTGTGTTTTTTCCAGTTTTTTGGGCCCCCTGAAGTTGTGCATCCCAAACCCCAGCTTCTCTGGGCCCACAGTTTGTTCCCCCCCAGTTACTAGCTGGGCATTTCTGTGGCTGGGAGTTTTCTGGGTTTTCTGTGGCAGAGCCTTTCTAGCCTCTGCTTGTGTGAAGTTCTGGATGGATGCCCCAGTGCTGCTATATGGGGCAGCATGGGATTTTTTTTACCCCTTGCTTCCTGTGTGACTCTCAAAGTGCGGTCAGAGCTACCGATGGTTCTGGTGGGGAGGGAGCACATTTTCTGCAGTCACCTTCTCTTCTGGGTGTTCCCACATTTGCCCCAACCTGCTGACAGCAACATTCTGTCCTGGTGGACTCAATGCTGTGATCATCAGGTGTTGAGGAGGTGA